ATATATTCTTTTCAAATATATTGTATTTATATATAATATAAAGGCCAAAGACTGGATTCCTGCAGAATCAAAGTTAGATACAGTCACAACTGAAGTGGATACAAGCACACACAAAACTCTATCAGCTACACTGAAGGACAAGTACCACAGGGACTCTACTCCCAAACTACACGAGACAGGACCTGCAGCACCCGTGGAAGCCCACGATCAGCAAGTCTTGGCAAACTTTAACACATCATGTTTGGTCAAAAGGTTCTAGTTAATTCACACAACAGTTAGAGGTATTAGTCATGGATGCTACCTGCTGGTGATCTCCAATGAGGATGAGATGCTGGCAAGCTTTACTCAGAGTAGTAATGGTGTGAGCCTCAAGCACCTCTGCTGCCTCTTCTACAATGACAATTCGGGGCTCCACTTTTTGCAACAACTGACGGTATTTGGCAGCACCTGAGCAAGGAGAGAAGATAAACCTTAGCAGAATAGAATCACATTCAGGCAGTATGACAAGAGCTTCCAGGAAGGGGAGTAGGCTGTGTCCCAGAAAAGACTGGCATTCCTCCCAAGATTCCCCATTTCAAGACTCAGCTTTCTGAACTTTAAAATAGTACCATACCAAGGATGGCTTCTACATGAGGAAGGCAGATGGGGATTAGAGTCCTATGCCTGCCTTGGTCCTTTTCTCAATGCGCTCTTCAGACATAAGGTACCTACTCAACATAGTAATCAACAGACATAAACAGACCTGTAATTATCTATCCAAAGGGTCGTATTACAATGATCTTTATGCCACCATCACCAGAAGGGTGACGGCAGGGACAGCAGTGCAGATATTAGCTGTGCTTTACTCAAGCACAAAACGTGGAGCACTTGTATTAGAAGAATGCTACTCGAGATGGAGGGATTACAAGAGTGCACAGAAACTGCTCATGCAGTTCACTGACAGCTTGCACAGTAGCCATACTTGCAAAGGGAGTCAAAGATTCAGAAGGCTGCAGACTAATGGAGAGCCTGATCCAGGCTGTCAAGCAGCACATTACACTAATCTTTTGTATTAGTCCTTTAATCATTACTGGATACAGTGCAATACTGTGCTTCCCAACTGCTGTGTACCTGTAGTTGTCATCGCCACAATTTGGGCCTCCTTCAGAATGCACAAGTCTTCCTGCAGCCTCAGTTCTGTCAGCCTTTCTGCTGCTGCCTGGTACTGCTGTTCATGCTGCCTAATCTTCTGTCGAATAAACCCCTGATAGGTCTGCAACCAAAGCCTGATAAGAAAGTGCCATTATCACACACAGCAAGGGCAACAGGATGCAGAGCCAGAAGTTTCGAGTAGATTCAGTTTAAAACTTCTCCTATGTCTTTTGGACTAGAGATTATTAGCATCTGTACGTAGTTCCAAACACACAGAGGAGATGACAGCACTGCGCACACAAGGCAGGTCAGGTAAGAACAAGCACATTCAAACAAGGAGCTGAACACATATGGACAGAAAACACTGTGGCTTGACAGAAAGAGTGCAAACTGGAACAGTCCTAGGAAACATTTGACTGACAGACTCTGCAAAATAGCTCTGTTACCTGTAAAGCCTCCAGCGGGAGCTCAGGTCAAGCTGCCACAGATCCTGAACAGCCTTAGCCTCTAACTCTGTCATTGCATTCAGTTTACGGAGCTCAACCTTCATCTTCTGTCTCATTTTTTTCCTCTGTGCAGCAGTTGTCTGCAGGAATAAAAAAGCCCCTCAATAAACAGTTACAGCACATAGATTCTTTTGTATTGGCATTCCCATGTTAGTGTTTACACAAGCAGAGCTGAAGCACACTAGTGCATGCAGTTACCTCCCACTGCATAGTCTTCTGTTGTGTTTGGGCTGTTCCTTCTTCCTGGTCCTCCAGCTTCATAGCCAACAGCACACTGACTAGCTCATTAACAGCTCTGTGCTCTTCCTCCTTCCTTTCCTGAGGCTTTGCTGCCTCTTCATCCTCAATCACTCTGTCAGCTTGAATCAGGTCAGCCTCCTCTGGGATCTCCAAAAGCTCCTCTTCTGCTTCACCTTCCCACTCCTCCTCTCTCTCCTGCTGACCACCTGTGAGAGTCACCAGCTATATGCAGTAAGCCACAGCCACTCTAGCTGAATCACAGTGCAGCAGTCATATCACTGTGTGGAAATTAAGTTTATTCTTCTTTTCACTACTTTGCAGTATCATGCATCTTTCAGTGTCCACTAGGGAGACACTGGAAAGTAGCTACTGGAAAGCAGCTCCATGGACTGGAGTCCTGGTGGACAAGTTAACCACAAGACAGTAATGTGCCTCCGGGGCCAAAAAGGCCGATGGTCTCCTGGGATGCATTCAGAAGAGCATGGCCAGCAGGTCAAGGGAGATTCTCCTCCCCCTCTACTCTGCCCTGGTGAGGCCATATCTGGAGTATTTTGTCCAGTTCTGGACCCCCCAGTTGAAGGGAGACAGGGAACTACAGCGTTTGATGGATAGCTACGAAGGTGATTAAGGGAATGGGGGACATGACTCTAACAAGGGAAGGCTGAGAGACCTGGGCCTGTTTAGCTTGGAGAAGAGAAGGCTGAGAGACAATCTTATCAATGTCTGTAAATACCTGAAAGGTTGGATGAGACAATCTCTAGAGGACCCTTCCCACCCCTACCATTCTATGATACTATAGCAGTGTCTCTTTTCTGGCACATGTGCACTGCTTAGAGAAACACATCTGTAAAGGATAAGGGCTGGGTTTTGTCCACCTGTTTTTGTTTGTTTGTTTGTTTAGGGTTATTTTACCTGAATTCTCAGCCCCTATATGCTCTGCAGCATTCTGGGTGAAGACAGTTATACCAAGGCCCAGCCACTCCAGAATCATTGAGTGTCGTGAAGCATTGTAGCAAAACTCCTCATCATCCTAATATAAAAAAATGTCAAATCAGGCAGGTCTATTGCACTTCAGAGTCTTAGGATGATGCCAAAGCACCTTGCAGCAGCAGACAACAAAGATGAGTCCTATGAGAGGCCTGCAGAATTAGAAAGTCTGGGCAGCCTCAGATCTTCAGAAAGAGCATCCCTCCCCCACTTCAGTTTAAGAGGTTTTGACTTGGACACTTCCGGTTTTATGCTGATAAAGATCACTTAAAATCCATGCAGTTTAAAAGAGCACAATTTAAAGTCCCCACCTGCCCTGCCCAGTCTAGACTACTATCACTTGGCACAGCTTGCTGTTCACTCCCACCAAGTGATGGTAAAAAGTGTGGTTGGGGAACCTCAGACTCACCAGCAGAAAGGATAGTAAACATACAGTAGGACTGCTTGAGTCAGAGTAGAGACCTCTCTTACCAGACCATTCATCAGACTGTCCCAGTGCTGGGGTGCAATGCATGCTGCCAAGTAGCGCTCATGCAGAACTCCATATGTTGTGCATTCCAAGTGCTTAACTCCTTTGTGGAGCTCCTCCTCAGCCCATTTCATCTCACTGGTTATCTATGCATAACAAAGAGAAGGGAGTCATCATCATCATACTCAGAGAAATAAGGTTCAGAAACAACAGGACAAGAAACCGATAAAGTGAACAAGGACAGGAGAATTAATAGGCTGACTTCAGTGCAAGACAAGGTAAAAAAAAAGAGGAGTCAAGGAAGTTTAGTTAGCTCCTCCAGTGCACAGGCAGCTCAGTCCCCTTATCTCCAGAGAAGTCTCCACACACATTCACATAGGCCCTGCGGAGATGCATTGGCAAGTTGTATCGGAATTCACGCTTCTTCCTCAGCTCCTTCAAGGTGAATTGCTTCAGGACCTCACTGCTACTTCTGCCCCCAACACGCACCATTCCATGTTTTTGGAATTTGTATATTCCTGGGAATGAAAGAGAAATATTAGTACTAAAAAGGCAATCTCTGTTTTCCACAGCAGGACAAGAGGTAAGGAGAACACCCTTTGTCTGCAAATGCCATATTGCATTGGCCTGAGTGGTTTTCTTACTGTGTATCAATGGGGCTAGAGTCACTAGAAAAAAACAGAAGGGTGGGTCGTCATGCCAGAAGACAGACAGAGTTAAGACTTATAGTATAATTTCACCTGACCCTCCAACATACTCATAATGTGCTGTTACCTTCTAAGAACTGATCCAGTGCATGGTTAGTGTAGCAGACTATAAGGATGGGAGACTTCTGGACAGTGCTTTGCCACACATGCTTATTAGTCAAGAGAGCCTGAACAATCTTCAAACCCACGTAAGTCTTCCCTGCAAAACAAAGTCAGAATCAGAAAACATTAATCCACCCTCTACATAGTACCCTGAAACACAGGAATCATCAAAATGAGACACAGGACTTCGTTCCAGTCTGGAAATCTGGTTTGTACCAAGACAGGTGACCCCAGTAACTACCTTACAAAGTGTAAACAAAGCAGTGTGACACTGGCCTGTAGTTGACCAAGGTCATGCTGTGCAAACATGTTGTCTTTTGGTTAATACACTAGACCTGGGCCCATGGTTTCCTCTGCTACTCCATCCCCAAGCCCACTGATACTGTCTTCATACATGACGTTAGGCTGCACATGAAACATCCACATACTAGTGGAATACAAGCAGTGGTGCTTGTTGCAGATAGGTGCCATTTAAAACAATTACAGTGAATCTTGCAATGCTTTACACTCTGAACTTTCTAAAACACTATGAAGACCAACAGGACTGTTGCACAGCAAAAGGTACCACGTTATCAAAAATGGCTGAAATTTTTTTCACTCAAACACATAAGCAGAGCCAACACTGAAGTTGGTGTCTACCTGCAACGAGGTTGACAATGCATAAGATCAGACACGGGTATTTGAGGATATTTTAACCTTCTCCACAGCTCACACTAACTGGGCTATGCAAGCATCAATTAGGCACGGGACTAAGGATCTAGGAAAAGCTGGTTTTCTCTAAAGTTCATCTGTCTAAACGGGGGAAACAAGAACTCCCTAAATGACAGACTTAAAGCACATGTTTCTCACCAGTCCCAGGAGGTCCTTGGATAATAGCGAGCTCCTTGGTGAGTGCAAGACTCAATGCCTGCATCTGAGATTCATCCAATCTCAAGGTTTCCATCGAAAGCCACTGCTTGGGATCTAGAACATGGACACTTTGCCTTCTCAAACCATCAGAGTGTATCTCTTCATCTGACAGGGGATCTTCCATCAAGGGTGCAAAGTTGTAGGCAGTATTCATTGTCAAGTACGCTGGCTTCTTCACCTGTGCATCACATTCCACAATGTACTTCTGGAATGGAATATCTTCTTCCTGGATTTCCTGTAACCCTTCTAACACATGTCGATAGGCCTCAAAGTAGGCAGCTGTCTCTACCATGATAAAGGAATCTGAGGGTTGAACCTCTGCCAGCAGTGCTTTGCTCTGCTTGCTGAAACAAAGCTGCACAATCCCGTGGGCAAGATCTACATTATCACGATTAGAAACAGTGGCAAAAAGGCATGTTTCAAAGTGATCTTTGGACATACAGATCAGGGATCCATATAGCAATCGTTTGGAGTTCTGCCATCGTACAAACTTTAGTGGTTTTACGTCAAATTGGACCTTGTGAACAATACCAGATGGGGAACAAAGAGGGGTAATAATCCGTGCGTCGAAATAGATTCTGATATCATCAAATTTTTTCTTTCTTAAACCTTTGTCCTCAAAGCTCCTCAAAAGCTCCAAGACACCTTCTCTTAAAGGCCTTACAAAGTCTTCTCTCAAAAGCCGGAAATGGGTGTCAAGATAAATGCTGGTGCTCTCATATCTTCCAGAAACAATATTGGGACGTAGAAAAGGTTTCTCCTCACGGTGTACCTCATTATATGTCGGATAAATGGTCATTGTACGATAAGTTTCCTCTTGACTTTCAGTCTGAGGCCGCATAAGTGTATAGTTATCAGCCCTCAGTGTACCTTCACGTTTCTTCTCCTGCAGGTGCTGCATAAGCATCTGGACTTCATTGAGATTCTTCTGTGTTTCTTCTGTGATGTTCACACCAGAATCTTTCAGTGACTTTATGGATGCTGGCAAGACTGTCAAGAGAACGGATATTTTCTGCACAGAACTTGCTGGGAAAATACTGATCAGGTCCCGAAGAAGTGAAATGATGTTGCTAATATGCACAGGGTACTGATGACGTACAGCAGGGACTGCTTCTGTTATCATGTCAGACACATACTGTGGCAGACAAATCTTGAGAAAGTTGGACTCTTTCACCTCTCCAAGAAGCTGCTGGACACTCTGTCTATCCATTCGGGAACTGCATGCTTTACGAAGGACCTGGCAAACGAGCTGAAGGAAATTGGGTTTCATAGCTGTTTGGGAAAGAAGTTCCTTCAAACCTGAACTGGAAGCAAGTGTGATGACAATTTCTGAAGGGTCTTTCTGAAGGAGACTTTCTAGGAATTTATAGCCAATCCTTCTGGCTTGCTGAGGCTGCTCACTGAGCTGTGCACCATGTC